TACCTAGACCACCTCTTCATATGTTTATTTCTGCGTGCTTCGATTTCTGTACGTGGCACCATAAGATAAGGAAAAACATGCGACATCTTTATTTTTGTGCGTAATGCTTGAACTAGGACAATTGCTCTGAGGCTATAGGATGAGGAACAGATTCATGGGGTCAATGGGATACTCAGACGATAGCAGCTACCTATCTGGGTGTTGTTGGAATAGCATTGAGGGTTCTGTCGTACTTGTAAGATGTACAGATATACATATATTATTATATAATCTCTACTGGTCAACTACTTCCTGCTCTACGTGCACAAGCTCCCGGCGGCTGCTTCTTTTGCACGCTGGGGGCTCAGCTTCAGCCAAACTCTCGATCCCACTGCTTCTTGTAAAGCAATAGGCACAAGCGAATAGTCCGGATAGCACATGTGGTGTTTGAGCATCGCCTGCTAATTCTTGCCACTCTTCCAATGAAGTCCTCATCTTGCCAACAGCTCATGCCTAAGTCATTCAGGGTACTTTGCATATTGTGTGTGTCAGACTTGCAGCAGGGGCCATGATGTAAACAACATGCGAGATATTCATTTTGCAGCATAAGCTGCAGCGCGGATTCCACACCAGGCTATTGCCCAGCTGAACTTGAATGCCCACATCACGCCTGCGCTATGTACGAACACTATGTATTCATTTGCTGCTGCTGCTGCTGAAGAGTCTACTAGAAAGGAACCGTAACAAGAATGAAACAAAAGGTAGCCAAGGAACACTATATGAAGCATCATATGAATTTTCGGCCGCACTTTGAACAGCTGCCAATGTCGGGCAGACGTGTGGAATGCCAAGGCACCGGCTCCTTCCTAAGTCCAAGCTGATCTATAATGACCCCACCCGGTAGAGGTAGCTGGAATATATATAGTTCTGATTGCAGCAGAAATGCACACATACCCCAGCCATGATCGGCAATCGTTGCAGCATCTGAAGCCGGTATCCACATAGCATGGCGATACAATCCCCGGAAGAAGGCATTTGTTTGCTCAAAGGTCCACCGAAGAAGCTCGTAAAGCTGTCTGTCGCCCACAGCCTATAGCCCATCTAAAGCTAGGGGTCAGGGTTTATTGGGTTATGTCGGGCTTATGAGTTCTTATTGCTTCGACGAAGTTACTAATGCAAAAGCTTGGATTTTGGCTTGCTGCTATGTTTACAAAAAATTACAAACTATAGGTCTATACATGCAGTAGATCGAGAATCAACTCGTGCATCTCCTCCCGGTTCGCTGAGCAGGTCGCCCAGGAATTCACAAAGTAGGATCGTGTCCGACCCTTTCCCAGCACCTTTGGGATAGCACTGTAGCCTCAGCTCCTATGATACATACCTCTACCTAGCAACCCTCTAATTTATAATTTCATTTTTGCAAATACCTATGTTAACCTTATATGAATCCTATAAATCCTATATAAACCCATATATATCTAATAATATATCGTAGTTTTTATATGATCGGAAAAGCCCACCTCTCCTAGCAATGTATAGTTCCCATCCCATGAAGCCCAATCGATATGAATTGCCACAGATTCCTATCCAACTCAGGCTGAGGACGTCTTCATCTTGAACTTCAGAAGTCCAAACCCATCGAGGCTCGTAGATTTGCTGTTCTGTCTACACCACTTGATAAATAAGTCGTACAAAGCATCTAGCCTTTCCTGTGTGGACCGACCTGGCACCAGCCGGAGTCTCGCAAGCATAACAAGCGCAGACGTAGCCATCCCAGAACCAAACCCCTGGATGGCGAATGTATGAGCAGGGTCAGTACGGATTCGCCACGGGTCTTCGGCCCCAGGTATGTTTCGTAGAGGGCTTACTTCATCTTTCCAGGGATCATCAGCTGGATCTTCCCGTGTCCAATTGCGAATATCGGATGTAGAGGAGCAGTTGTACCAATCCTTCTTTACATAAGTCGATCATGGATTTTAAAAAACCGAAGAGCACACTATCGATCTATATTTTGTTAACACCGGACCTCTTGCTCACACATGTGGCAAATCCTTGTGCTGGAAAAGCCCGTCTGCAGACAGAATGCCTTTCTGAGCCACACCCAGTCGCCTTTGCACCCAAGCCATGCCATACGGAAGTTGTATTTCTGGCCTCCATGTTCAACCTTAGGCAACATAAAGATACACATATTGTACATATACGACTCAAGCAATGCCTACTAAAACCACTAAGTCATCATTGAGTCCTCTAAATATGTAGGAGGCACATCTAGACCATTCCAGAAGAGATGAATACAATCGTCTGCCAAGTGCTTCAGCAACTCGAAGATTGTCGTATCGCCGTGGTAGCAACGAGCAGGTATGGTTGTGTAAAGTAGGCGTGAACAAAAGCTGTGCCTTAGTTCTTAGAAGATGCATCTCTACCATAACAAGTCTGACCACTGTTATTCTGGCTGTATAATTTTATCCTAGCACATAAATA